TCCGTAGGAGTAGTAGTGTAGTCGTAGTAGTCGTAGTAAGTAGTCAGTAATAGTAGTAGTAATAGGTAGTAGTAAGTATAGTACTAGTAGTAGTAGTAGTAGTAGTAGTACGGTCTAGGATAGTAGTAGTAAGTCACGTATTAGTAGTAGTTAGTAAGTATATATAGTAATTAGTAGTAATAGTCAAAGTAAGTAGTAGTATGAGTATTAGTAGTAGTAAGTAAGTAGTAGTAGTAGTGAGTAGTAGTAGTATTAGTAGTAGTAATAGTAATCGTAGTAGTAGTAGTAGTATAGTAGTAGTCCGTAGTCGTAAGTCGTAGTAGTAGTAGTAGTATAGTATTAAGTAGTAGTTAAGAAGTAAGTAGTAGTAGTAGTAGTAGTAGTAGTAGTAGTAGTAGTAGTAGTAGTAGTCGTCGTCTCCGGCACCTGCCTCTCTCGCCTTGCGCCAGCGGGGCATTTTGATGTACACAGTTTTGACTCCGGCCGTCGTCGTCGTCGTCGTCGTCGTCGTCGACGTCGTCGTCGTCGTCGTCGTCGTCGTGGTTGGCCTCTCGGGGGCCTCTGGAAAGCTGTTTTGAAGCGTTTCGGGAGCAGCTTTGGGGCCTCATTTGGGCCTCTTGGGGGCCTCTCGGGGCTTCCAGGGGGCCTCTTGGGCGCTTGTTGAGGCCTCTTGGGGGTTTCTTTTTGTTCTCCCCCCTCCGCTCTGCAGCTATACTCATGTCACCTGAGTCTGTCTCTGTATGTCGCAAGTTTGCACGAGCGTACCCGGGGCAACGCAGATCGCAACATGTGGAGGACACACATGATGAACGGTCTACAAGTTCAACAGGCGTAGCGTCGAACTCGGGCTCAAAACTCACTAGTTGTTGATCATAATGTAAAGCGCAAGGGCATTCACGGCAACGTCCTCGACGCCCGCCTCTGGCTTCCGGGCCTTCGCGTCGGGAGCGCCGACGCAGCACTCGTAGACGCAGCCGAACGTCAGGATGACGACCCCGAGGCAAAACCAGAGCCAGCACAGGTCGATGTACCACTCCCACGCGAACCAATTCAGGAAGACGGGAAGGAAGGTGAACACGCCCGCGGCGAGAATTACAAATATGCCCAACAAGATGCCAGACATGCCATAGTCGCAGTGGCAGTTGATGGGGCACGCCACGCTCGCCTCAGGCGGCCGCGTCCAGTGCCGAAGCGCGCGGGGAGCACGAACCCAAAAGTCGAAGCTGTCGAGCCACGATTGAGCCAAAATGGCTTGAGCCAACATGGCTACGGAGGCCTCTTGGGGGCTTCTTGGGGCCTTTTGCGGGCCTTTTAGGGCGGGAAGCTGAATTTTCAGTTCGTGGTCCCTCTCTTGGGCCTCTCTTGGGCCGTCTTGGGCCTCTCTTGGGCCGTCTTAGGGGCCTCTTGGGCGGTCTTGGGGCAATCTTGGAAGCCTATGCTATGGCCGTAGTAGTAGTCGTAGTAGTAGTAGTAGTAGTAGTAGTAGTAGTAGTAGTAGTAGTAGTAGTAGTAGTAGTAGTAGTAGTAGTAGTAGTAGTAGTAGTAGTAGTAGTAGTAGTAGTAGTAGTAGTAGTAGTAGTAGTAGTAGTAGTAGTAGTAGTAGTAGTAGTAGTAGTAGTAGTAGTAGTAGTAGTAGTAGTAGTAGTAGTAGTAGTAGTAGTAGTAGTAGTAGTAGTAGTAGGGGTAGTAGTAGTAGTAGTAGTAGTAGTAGTAGTACTAGTAGTTAGTAGTAGTAGTAGTAGTAGTAGTAGTAGTAGTAGTAGTAGTAGTAGTAGTAGTAGTAGTATAGTAGTAGTAGTAGTAGTAGTAGTAGCGTAGTAGTAGTAGTAGTAGTAGTAGTAGTCGTAGTCGTAGTAGTACGTAGTAGTAGTAGTCGTAGTAGTAGTCTAGTAGTAGTCGTAGTAGTCGTAGTCGTAGTAGTAGTAGTAGTAGTAGTAGTAGTAGTAGTAGTAGTAGTAGTAGTAGTAGTAGTAATAGTAGTAGTAGTAGTAGTAGTAGTAGTAGTAGTAGTAGTAGTAGTAGTAGTTAGTAGTAGTAGTAGTAGTAGTAGTAGTAGTAGTAGTAGTAGTAGTAGTAGTAGTCGTCGTCTCCGGCACCTGCCTCTCTCGCCTTGTGCCAGCGGGGCATTTTGATGTACACAGTTTTGACTCCGGCCGTCGTCGTCGTCGTCGTCGTCGTCGTCGACGTCGTCGTCGTCGTCGTCGTCGTGGTTGGCCTCTCGGGGGCCTCTGGAAAGCTGTTTTGAAGCGTTTCGGGAGCAGCTTTGGGGCCTCATTTGGGCCTCTTGGGGGCCTCTTGGGGCTTCCAGGGGGCCTCTTGGGCGCTTGTCGAGGCCTCTTGGGGGGTTCTTTTTGTTCTCCCCCCTCCGCTTTGCAGCAATACTCATGTCACCTGAGTCTGTCGCTGTATGTCGCAAGTTTGCACGAGCGTACCCGGGGCAACGCAGATCGCAACATGTGGAGGACACACATGATGAACGGTCTACAAGTTCAACAGGCGTAGCGTCGAACTCGGGCTCAAAACTCACTAGTTGTTGATCATAATGTAAAGCGCAAGGGCATTCACGGCGCCGTCCTCGACGTCCGCCTCTGGCTTCCGGGCCTTCGCGTCGGGAGCGCCGACGCAGCACTCGTAGACGCAGGCGAACGTCAGGATGACGACCCCGAGGCAAAACCAGAGCCAGCACAGGTCGATGTACCACTCCCACGCGAACCAATTCAGGAAGACGGGAAAGAAGGTGAACACGCCCGCGGCGAGAATTACAAATATGCCCAACAAGATGCCAGACATGCCATAGTCGCAGTGGCAGTTGATGGGGCACGCCACGCTCGCCTCAGGCGGCCGCGTCCAGTGCCGAAGCGCGCGGGGAGCACGAACCCAAAAGTCGAAGCTGTCGAGCCACGATTGAGCCAAAATGGCTTGAGCCAAAATGGCTACGGAGGCTTCTTGGGGGCTTCTTGGGGCCTTCTGCGGGCCTTTTAGGGCGGGAAGCTGAATTTTCGGTTCGTGGTCCCTCTCTTGGGCCTCTCTTGGGCCGTCTTGGGCCTCTCTTGGGCCGTCTTAGGGGCCTCTTGGGCGGTCTTGGGGCAATCTTGGAAGCCTCTGCTATGGCCGTTGCACATCTCCAGGGGTCGTCTTGGAGCCGTCTTGGTGCCCTCACGGAACCATCTCGGAGCCTCCTGGGAGCCTCTTTGTGCCCCAAGGGAGCTTAAAGGAACCCAAGAGCGTTCGAAGAGGGCCTCAAATAGGGTGCGCAATTGCGCACCGTCAGACGTCTTCTCGGTACGAATGCACCCCTGTGCCTGTATACACATCCAGCATGTACATCGCTGTGCCTGCGTACACCACAAAGCCCGTGTACACCTCCAGGGCACGGCCCCATACCCCCGTTGCCTGCGCGGACAACAGTAATTATCTTTGCGCACGACAATGCTGGACACCACCGCGCCTGTGTGCACCACAATTGCCGCCGCAGCCGGCGTGTGCGCTACGCACGCCGAACAGCTCGTTGTTTCCACTGCTGGGTGTGCCGCCGCGCCTGCGCGGGTGCCACATCAGCCTGCGCGCGCCGCGCGCCTCTACATACCACAAGCACATGCCTGCGCACGCTGCAAACACGTTGCGCGCGCACTACGCACAGCATACCTGTGCGCTAAACAACACGCGCTGCTGCAACGGGGGTGGGTGGGGCGGCGGGCGTTATGTTATCTACTGGGTGGGTGGGTGGGTTGGAGGCCACATAACGCGCGTTATGTGTTCGAGTATAAAAACTTGATCTCCAGCGGTCCGACAAAGGTTGATGCACGGCCGTGCTCTAGGATGCAATTGACATGTATGGTGTGACAAGGCTGTCGGCGGCGACGAGGTCCCAATATCCGTTACCAACAACCATTCCATTCCATTACCGCCGTGCAACGTCAGTTTGTTCATCCGTTGACAGTAGCACGCGTCGCGGCAGCAGAACGCAGTAGCGAGGGCATGCAGGGCCAGCGATGTGGCTAGCCAGCTGGCCGCACAAAGGAATTACACGAGACTTCGTGGCACACCAAGGAATTACAGCAACGCCATTTGGGTTGCGCGGTGACAGCTCCGAGCTGGAAAGGAAAAGGGGGGCGGGACAAGGCAAACCAGGAGAAGAGGAAAAAGAAGAGGAGGGCGAGAAAGAAGCGAAGGAAGCAACGGAAGGAAGCCAGGATGCGCGCAAGCGAAGCTAACACTGCGCGCCAAGACACTTGTTCGTTCGTTCGGTTGGCCGTGCGGCAGATGAATCGAAAAAAATGTTTTGCTGCCTATCGAAGGGACTTCTTGGGAATGAGACTCGCGTTCTCTTCCCAACCCCCTTTCCCACACCCCGTTGCGAGCGCGCGACGATTTGTTCTGGCCCGCGGGCAGAGCAATGCCAGTTGCTGGTGAGCGGCCTTTCCACCCGTCACGCGTTCCGAACACATGCGACCAGCTAAACGCACTTGCCACGCAAACCGCCAGCTCCAAACACCGACGCCACCCCGATCCCCGCATCCGTGCCAGGCACCCTCTCAACGACGCCCCCTTCCGGCGTAAAACCAATACAACCCTTTGTGTTTGTGTTTTTCCTGTTCTGAATAGTCCTATCGCCCTATAGTCCTATAGCCCTCTAGCCCCGTAGCCTTATAGCCCTATAGGCCCGTAGCCCTATAGCGGTAAAAAAATAGGATTGGTGCATTTCTCCGGTATCATGGCGTTTGTTTCTTCAATTTTCTGGCGCTGGCTTCGCCGAAACAAAGGCACACGCCCGAGTGGTGCCACGGTGCCGCCGAAAGAGGCCCCAAGCCGTGGGCGGCGGGGGGGGCGGAGGAGGAGGGGGAGGAGGAGGAGGAGGAGGAGGAGGAGGAGGAGGAGGAGGAGGAGGAGGAGGAGGAGGACGAGGAGGAGGAGGAGGAGGAGGAGGAGGAGGAGGAGAAGGAGGAGGAGGGGAGAGAAAGAGGGGGAGGGGGAGGGGGAGGAGGAGGAGGGGGGGCGTCCGACTCCCACGCCCACACGGTGCAACCGCCCTGCTCGGCGGGGAACACCCTGCACTTGAGGCAGCACTCGGACTCCGAGGCCACCTGCCGCCGGAGGCGGGGGGGCGAGACGAGCGGCCGGAACAACTTCTGTTCGTCGGCGGCGAGGCAGAGTTGGCTGCACCAGCGACCGAGCTGGCCGGGGGCACCGAAAGAAGCGAACTGGCCAGCGTGCAAACACGAGACGAGGGCAGAGACGGCGGCCGCGGAGGGGGGGAGAAGAAAAGGCCACTCAGAGGTGGAAGAGGGGGCCAGAACAAAACTGTAGTCAGGGGCAACGTCAGGGGGGACCGGCTCTCAGGGGGAGGACACAGCGGCCAAGAATCGGCCAGACGTCGCCGATAGATCGGCTAGAGGCGCCCGATAGCGAATCCGCACGCTCCTGGACTGAGTGGGATACTGGGCCCCTATCGGCGATCAACGAGCGATTGGAGGCCGATGCGTCCCCACAGGCCTATCTCCCCAAAACATTGGCCCTGAAATTTGGACGCGCGGAGTGGGTGCGGAAAGAGTCGGCACGTCAAAAACAAATGTTGCCCAAAGGCGACAGCGGCCGCTGTTGGGCAGGCGGCCGTCTGTCACAAATGGTTAGCATCGTCCGCGACAACGCCGGCATCGAATCCTGATCAAAATGATCAGGAACTGCTGTCGATATTCGTACCCATTCGCTCCGTACCCATCTCGACGTACCGATGAAAGAAAGCACACCGAACGTCCGTCGGGAACCCAACGGACGCCAGCGGGCGCCGCCAGCGGGCGGCGGCAGGTCTCATGGGATTACACAGATAGAGAAGCTGCCGTGGGGGCCAAAACGCATGGGGGGAAGAGGAGGGAGGAACAAGGACGCGCGGGCCCCCGTGATGTCATCACCCCTCTCTTGGCCGCCCGCGACCACCAGCGCGAGGACCTGCCGGGGGGGGGTCATTCCCGCGGTGTGCGGCCCCCTTGCCGCGCTCGAGAGATCTCAAAGTCTGCAGCCCGGTACACCGTGGACCACCTCGCCGACGAGGGGAAGGCGATGATGGGGGGAGGGAGGAGGGGGGAGGGATGGAACGACAATCGTCTCTAATTGTACTGCGTGTCTAAGAAAGCCTTGTCCCTTAATGCAGAAGGCCATGCTCACAGGAAGACCCCCCCACAAAGAGGCAATTGACAAGAGGTGAGCCTATTTCATTATTCCCTGAGTATGGGGTGGGTCGATGGGGGTAAGATACTCGCAACCAGACAAGAGGCCCAAAAGATACTCCAATAGGCTCCCGCACGGCCCCCAAGAGGCATCCAAACTGCCTCCAAAAGGCGCCCGAGAGCCCCCCTACGAGATCCCAGCCGATATCCCATAGGCTTCATACCCACAACCCAGGCTCGGTGGCGGGATGGCCCGAAGGCCATTCGACCAGCTTGGCATGGGGACGGAAAGCGCGTTTATTTTGTGAGGGCGCGAGGTCGCTAGTTTAGTGTCTTGGAGCCCTGTTGGTGTTAAGGCTTCGGTGCGACACGCAAAAATCTAGCAACCAACCTTGCGAAAATCAATTCATATTGCATTTCCGGGCCTTCCTGGGGGTCCTTTTGGAACTCGTTTGGGCCGTCTTGGGGACCTTTTGGGCCGCCAGAGGACCCTCTTGGCCTGTCTTGGCGGGCTTGGGCCGTCTTGGGGCCCTCCTGGGTCCCCGTGGGGACCTCCTGTGGCCCCTCTTGGGGCTCTCCTGGGAACCTTTTGGGCCCTCAGGGGCATTTCATGAGCCGTCTTGGGGCTCTCTTTGGCTGTCTTGACGCCCACTGTGGCTGTTTTGGGAGCCTCTGGGGCCGTCTTTGGGCGGTCTTGGAGGCCTCCTGGGCCGTTTTGGACGCTGTGAAGACCAAAGGAGCGGAGATGCTAAAGATGCATGTTTCCCCTAAGGAATGGGACGAATTTTGCCTCTTGGGGGTTCCCTTTGGGGGCCTCTTGGGGCGTCTTGGGGACCTCTTCGGCTGTCTTGAAGCCATATTGGGCCCTCTTGGAGCGCTCTTGGACCGTCTTCGGGTCCTCTTGGACCTCTCCAACGCCGTCTTGGAGGCATTTTGGGCGCTTTGGGGGCTGCCTTGGGCCGTCTTGGGGCCTCTTAGGCGCTCCTGGGGCTGACGTGGGCCGTCTTGGGCAGACAATTGCCGAATTCTGGGCGAGTAGACCTGGCCAGGCACAGAAACGGAAAGAGCGCTTCAGAAACAGAAGCCGAAATTACTCACACCACCGTTCGTACTGGGAGCCTTGGCGTTGAGAGCTTGTTACGTCACCCCTCGCCCTTGGGAGCCTTGGTGTTCAGAGATTGTTGCGCTGCCGCCCGTTCCTGAGACTTGGCTGGGCCTTGGTGTCAGGAACTTGTTACGTCACCGCTCTCTGCTGGGAGCCTTGGTCTTAACAGCTTGTTTACGTCACCGTTCGCTCTTGGGAGCCTTGGTGTGAAGAGCTTTTTGCGTTACCGATCGCTCTCTATTTGGCGTCTCTGGGCCTTCTTGGGAGTCCCGTTGGGGCCCTTGTCGGGCCCTTTTGGAGGCCTCTTGGGAACATCTTGGGGGCCTCTTGGGGCTTCTTGGGGGGCTCTGGGGGCCTCCTGGGAGCTTCTTGGGGCGAAAGGCTAGACTTTTCGGTTCGTGGTCCCCCTCTTGGGGCCGTCTTGGGGCCCTCTTGGGCCCGTCTTGGCGCCCTCTTGGGCCGTTTGGGGGGCCTCTTGGGATCGTCTTGGGCCGTCTTGGGGCCGTCTTGGGGGGCTCTTGGAGCGTCTTCAACGCAGTGAAAGCCGAAAAGCCTTGTATGCTAAAAATGCATATTTTCCCAACGGAAATCAATGGTTTTCGCCTCCCGGTGGCCTCTTGGGACGCCTCTTGGGGGCCTCTTGGGGCTTCTTGGGGGGCTCTGGGGGCCTCCTGGGAGCGTCTTGGTGCGAAAAGCTAGACTTTTCGGTTCGTGGTCCCCCTCTTGGGGCCGTCTTGGCGCCCTCTTGGGCCGTCTTGGGCGCCTCTTGGGCCGTCTTGGCGCCCTCTTGGGCCGTTTTGGGGGCCTCTTGGGAGCCTCTTGGGCCGCCTTGGGGCGGTCTTGGGGGCCTCTTGGAGCGTCTTCAACGCAGTGAAAGCCGAAAAGCCTTGTATGCTAAAAATGTACCTTTCCCCATTGGAAATCAATGGTTTTCGCCTCGCGGTGGCCTCTTGGGACGCCTCTTGGGGGCCTCTTGGGGCTTCTTGGGGGGCTCTGGGGGCCTCCTGGGAGCGTCTTGGGGCGAAAAGCTAAACTTTTTGGTTCGTGGTCTCCCTCTTGGGGCCGTCTTGGCGCCCTCTTGGGCCGTCTTGAGCGCCTCTTGGGCCGTCTTGGGGTCCTATTGGGCCGTTTTGGGGGCCTCTTGGGAGCCCGCCGTGAAAGCCGACAAAGCGCATATGCTAAAAATATACGTCTTCCTTTAAACAAATCGATGATGTCGGCCTCTTGGGGCCCTCTTGGGACGCCCCTTGGGCGCCTCTTAGTTGGGGGCCTCTTGGGCCGTCTTGGGCGATCTTGGGCTCTCTTGGAGCGCTCTTGGGCCGTCTTGGGGGGAACCCGAAAAACATGCAAAAACCCTAGGGAAAACCGAAAACGGCCATTAACACGCAGGTGCGCACGCTACCCCCCTCCCCTGGAACCCCTCCCTTTAGGGCTTCCCCCACACCAGAACGTCATCACACGTACCTCGCTCTTTCCGTTACCTGCTTGGCATGGGGACGGGAAGCGCGTGTATTTTGTGTGGGCGCGAGGTCGCTGGCTTAGTGTCTTGGAGCCCTGTTGGCGTTGAGGCTTCGGTGAAACATGCAAAAAACTAGCAACCAACCTCACGAAAATCAATTCATGTTGCATTTCCATGCCTTCCTGGGGCCCCTTGCGGGGCTCGTTTGGGCCGTCTTGGGGCCCTTTGAGGCCGTCCCGGGACCCTCTTGGGGCCCTCTGGGGGCCCTCCTGGGTCTCCTTGGGGCCTCCTGTGGGCCTCTTGGGGCTCTCTTGGGAACCTTTTGGGACACTCAAGGGCCTCTCTCGGGCCGTCTTGGGGCTCTCTTTGGCTGTCTTGACGCCCACTTGGGCTGTTTTGGGGGCCTCTGAGCTGTCTTTGGGCGGTCTTGGGGGCCTCATGGGCCGGTTTGGAAGCGAACATGCTGGAAATTCACGCTTCCCCGAGGGAATCGGACGAGTGTTGCCTCTTGGGGGTCTTTTGGGGGGCCTGTTGGGGCGTCTTGGGGGCCTCTTCGGCTGTCTTGAAGCCATATTGGGCCCTCTTGGAGCGCTCTTGGGCAATCTTCGGGCCCTCTTTGACCTCTCCGACGCCGTCTTGGAGTCATCTTGGGCGCTCTTGGGGCTGACTTGGGCCGTCTTGGGCCGAAAATTGTCGAAACTTGGGGCGACTAGATTTGACGCCCGGGCCGCCTACACACCCGCCCCCCTTGTTATTTCCCCCGACTAACGGATCGCGACGCTACGCGCGCTTGCTGTTACCTGACGCCAGGGCTGCCTACCCTTAGGTCGGGCCTGTCCCCCTACAGGGGGATTCTGGACGAAAAATTAAAATGGTCAAAACATAATCAAACATATTTCAAAAAATACTCCAAGAATAGTCCCCAAATCATTTGTTACTTTTGAATCTTCCTCCTGTAGAGGGACAGGCCCGACTCCAGCCTACCCCCCCTGTTGTCTCTCCCGACTGACGGATCGTGACGCTGCGCGCGCACGCTTTCCGTCTTCCGCCGCCCCCCGTGGTCATGCCACAGGGGCGCCCGGCGTGCTGAATTTCTTACGATTGGCGTTTGGTTAATTTCTTAGGTCGGGCCTGTCCCCCGACAGGGCGATGTTCGAGGATTTCTGCTTCGTAGAATCAAAAACATTCACCAAACATATCTTAGAAATGCTCCAAGAGTAATCCCCAGACTTTCTTTTAATAACATTTTTGAACATTCCTCCTGTAGAGGGACAGGCCTGACTTAATTCTTTTCCAGAAGAACTCTCCTCTGGGGCTTCGGCCCGTCTCGCCGGCCACCCCGAAGGCCGCGCAATCGCGCACAACGTCCCCCAAAAATCGTCCAAGACGGCCCAAGATGGGCTCCAAGACGGTCAAGACGGCCCAAGATGGCCTCCAAGATACCTCCAAGGCGGCCAAAATGGCCTCCACGACGGCTAAGATGGCCCCACGATGCTTCCGAGACGGTCCAAGATGCACCCAAGACGGTCTAAGATAGCCTCAGGATGGCCCAAGACGGCCCAAGAGGCCCCCAAGAGGCCTCCAAAACGGCCCAAGAGGCCTCCAAGAGGTCCTCCACAAAGGCTCGAAGAGGCCAAAATCATTGACTGTCCTTAGGTTTTTGACGGATGCTGTGATTTGCCAATTGTTCGACCTTCAGACGGCCCAAGACGGCCCAAGAGGCCCCCAAGGTCGTCCCAAGATCGCCTAAGAGGCCTCCAAGATGGCCCCATGACGGCCCAGGAGGCTCCCAAGACGGCCCCCCAAAAGTCCCAAGACGGCCCAAGAGGCTTCCAAGACGCCCAAGATGGTCTCCAAGACGGCCCTGAAGCGCCCGAAGGGGGCCCCAAGTCGGTTCAGAGAGGCCCCCAAGACGGCTGCCGACGGCGTCCGACAGGTCAGGAACGCCGAAGACGGCCAAAAAGGCCCCAAAGAAGCCGTCAAGGGCCCCCAAAGAGGCCCCCAAGACGCCCAGGGAGGCTCCCGAGAGGCCTCCAAGAGGCTCCCAGGAAGCTCCGCAGATGCCACCCGAGAGGCCTCCCGAGAGGCCTCCCAAGAGGTTCCCAAGAATTATGCAGCTCCCATCGTACTTAATGACCGCATCCCAGAAATAATTGCGAGCACCCGGACAAGGGTCGAAAGAGTCGAAAGAGTGTCGAAACAATGTCGGGCGAGTGTCTCCCATGGCCCGACACGTAAAAACCTTCGAGTTTCGGTGCTGCTTTGGTGCTCGAAATTCTTTCTGGTGGTTCAGGCTAAAGTAGGTCGGAACATCATAACCCAAGAAGTCTCCTCCTCCTACTCCTCCTCTTCCTCCTCCTCATCCTCATCATCCTCATCATCCTCCTCCTCCTCCCCCATCATCCTCATCCTCATCCTCGTCCTCATCCTACTCATCATTATCATCCTCCTCCCGCTCCTGATCCTCCTCCTCCTCTTGCTCCCCCACGCGTTCCCCGAATGCTTTCCAAGCCGACTCGGGGAACAACTGGCCCGATAGCTTGGCCAAGCTCTAGCCCAGCTGTCGGTCACAACCGCGCTTCCAAAACGGCAGGTGGCGGCAGTGATTCGCCGCAGGCGTCGTCGAGAAGACCAAACCAGGACGAGGATCAATTCGGGTGATGATAGGCTGAGAATCTCTGAGATCTGGCGGCTCTGGAGGATGTGTCGGGCGACGCGGCCTTCGCAGAGCGTTCCGGAACGGATTATTCTTCGTGCCGGCCCCGTCCGACCCTCAGACCATGTACGTATTACCAGCCTCGAACGTATCCCTATCCCTAAGATTGACACGCCAAAAGGCGATGACAATCTTAGGGATTCGCCCTCAAAAAATAAGGCAATCCCTAAGATTGGCATCGTGATGAGGAGGTGCCCAGCATAGGGATAGGGATATGTTCCAGGCTGGTAAACGTAGGTATTGAAGCAACGTGCAAAGAATGGAGTTGGCACGCCAGGGCTGAAAGGCAAACAAATGTGTCTGAAGTCTTGGGAACCCTGGGGTGCCGGACGTGCCTCTGGGATGGAATAGACATCCGAGGCGATGTACCGCACGTTGGCCTCGGGGCCGGGCCGGACCCACAATCCGCCTCCGCCGCCCCGGCCTCCCGCGTTCCGCCCCGCGAGCGCGGGGCAGGAAGTCGCCTCTCTATCCCGGCGCGCGCCGGTGGGAATGAGGGAGTGAGGGGGAGTAAAGGGGAGGAGGGAGGACAGAGAGGAGGGGGCGAGACATGGCACGCCGTCTGAACACGAACAGCGGGAAGCTGGGGCGGGGCCGGCGAGGAGGAGGAGGAAGGGTGGAGGAGGAGGAGGAGGACGACGCGACGAGGAGGAAAAAGAGGAGGAGGGCGCGAAGGAGGAGCAAAGGGAGAGGGGGGCGAGGGGCGAGGCAGCAGGACCATGGCGAAGGTGGTTTTGCCAAGCCTTCGCCTCCTGTGAACGGGTCCCCTTTCCAACAAAGTGCCCGCGCCCTGGAAGGAGGATGGGAGGAGAGGCTGAGTCGGTGGCCGTACAGGGCAGTTTTTAATACATGGGATTTTTTTTTAAATATGATTTTTAATACATGATTAACTTATGGATCAATGTATGCATGAACTCATCGTTGTTTTTAATGCTAAACCCCTGCATTTTTAACACATGATCCGCACGCGGAGCATGTATTAAAAACGGCACCGTACTTGAGGCTTGGGGTGCCTCCCGGTAGGCTCGAGGAGTAAGGCTTCTGAACATCTGGCACCCAATCTGGGCCCCCCGGGGCCCCCCCCCCCGGGCCTCCAGAGCTGCGCGCGGCGGGGGTACTTATAAGTACTTATGCTAGTTATAAGTAACTTATGAACTTACGGCCTACTTATAAGTAACTTATAAGTAACTTATAAGTAGCCCGTAAGTAGCCCGTAACTAGCCCGTAAGTAGCCCGTAAGTAGTCCGTAAGTAGCCGCGTAAGTAGCCCGTAAGTAGCCCGTAAGTAGCCAGTGGGTTCTAAATTTTAATGGTTTTGGTTCCAAACTGTTTGCGATTTTGCTAACATGTTTTCTGTGAGTTCCATGTTCGGAGGTCGATTTTTTCAGCATGCAATCTGGATTCGTATATTTCCATGTTCGGAACAAGATTTTCGCAGGTTGTAATTACATTCGTGCGCATGATGTTAACCTGATTAAATTTCTGTTTCTGTTGTTCGCGCCTATAATTTCAATGCTAACTTAAACGAAATTCTTGACACTTCGCGTATCCCCACCAGCCCATCCATAGTGAAACAGCGCGGGCACTACTGTTGAATTGGGGAGATCTCTGGTAGCGAAGGGTGCGGGTGCTGCTGCTGGTGCTGTTGCTGCTGCTGCTGGCACTGCTGCTGCTGCTGGTGCTACTGCTGGTGTTGCTGATTCTCGTGCTGCTGGCGCTGCTGCTGGTGCTGGTGCTGGTGGTGCTGCTGCTGCTGGGCAGGTGTTGCTGGCGCTGCTGCTGGTGTCATTGCCGCTGGTGGTGCTGTGGGTGCTGGTGGTGCTGCTGCTTCTGGTAGTTTTGCTGCGGGTGCTGCTGGTGTTGCTGGTTCTCGTGATGCTGCTGGCGCTGCTGTGGTGCTGCTGATGGTGCTGGTGTTGCTGTTGGTGGTGGTGGTGGTGCTGCTGCTGCTGCTGGTGCTGCTGGTGCTGGCTGATGCTGGCGATGGTTATCGTGCTGCTGGTGCTGCTGGTGCTGCTGCTAATGCATTTGCTGCTAATGGTGGTGATGTTGGTGCTGCTGATAGTGCTAGTGCTGTTGCTGCTGCTGCTGCTAGGTGCTGCTGCTGGTGCTGCTGCTGACGGTGGTGGCGGTGTTGCTGGTGCTACCGCTGCTGCCAAGTGCTCTTGCTGGTGGTTGTAGTGATGCTGCTATTGATGCAGGTGCTGACGGTGGTAGTGAAATCAGGCAGCGTAACAACCGCCTAGGAAGCGTTTTCTCGGAGGTATTGGGATCTTCGGGCCATGTGGTGCTCGTTTGGAAGGTCTTGGGGGGGATCTTAAATTCTTTTTGGTGGCATAGGGGACCTCTTGGAGCAGTGGCCACCATTGTTCAAAAAGAGGGGGGCTTAATTCCACCCACCCACCCCTAGGAGCTTCCAAAAAAGGCGCTCTCGCGCTCTTGGACGCCATTGGGGCCCTCTTGGGGCCCCTTGGGCCATCTCGGGGTCATCTTGACGCCTCAAGAGCCCATCGGAAGCGAAAAAGCGAACACACCAAAAAACATTTGTTTTGCTTTGGTGTTGGTGCAAATTTGGCCTCTGTGGGTTTGAACGCGGGGGGTTGGAGGGCACTTGAAACCGTATTGGTTCGTGTCGGATGCTATCTCGAGCCACCTTGAAGTATATTTGGCCATATTGGAAGCTCGGGCTCTCTGAGGCCGTCTTGGAGCCATCTCGAGCCATCAAGGACGTTCTAACTCCTCGCAGGTAAGCCCGCCCAGACGCAGGGAAGGCAAACCTCGTTGGAAAAGGAAACGGGCTGATTGGATTCACACTTCGATGTTGTGTGCGCCGATGATAACATAATTGCTCGGGAACCGAATATACCATACGGATTTGAAGATTTTCTGGGCTCGTCGTTTGTGGTGGTGCGGTTGGGGATCTCACGAGGCACAGAGCGTGAGAGCGCATCGACTTACATCAAACCGCATGCAAACATATAATGCAGCGGCCATATAACTGTAACAGTAACAGCCCCGTCGGCGCCTGATCGCCAAATTCCGTGGGCCAGCAACTCGTTAGACAAGACTAGGGTTGGCTTTTCAGCCCGCTTATATTTAGCATATCGGCCGTCTGCTTTTCTAAACTCCCACATGGAGATGCACGTCCAGTAAGTGCCGTCAACGCAGAAATGATACCAGATTTGCCCGCACTGTCGGCGCCTGTCGCCACCAAGCAGGACGACATCCAAATTGCTAAACTTCGCGCCCGATTCGGCAACGAAAGTGCCAGATATCTCGATATTGGCTGCGCGCGGAAACATTTCCCCCACTGGCATGCGCAACGCCTTCGGCAACGCACTCCAGTTGCCGCTTACGTGCGTCGAGAATTGTTTAAGGTCTGCAAAATGTTGGCAGCACAGCTCCTCCATGAGACCCCTGGTGTAGTATATGCCTCTCGACTGGCGGTTCATTGCGAACTTTTTCGGGTCCTTATGCCTTCGCTCGGTGACGAACGTGTCGAAAAGGCAACCGAAATCTCGGTACTGCGGACCGAGATGAGCAGCCTGGTGGTGCTTGAATTGCCAGGGCCCTCGCCCGTGCACGTCGCGAAACTTATGCAAGTGCTTCATGATGCAATCATGCAGCTGGACCGCGGACACCTGTTTGCGCGATGCGCATTGCAGCATCTCTATGCTCTCACAACAGAGCGAAACTGATTCCGCTGCACCGTGGAGGGCGGCAAGGCTCTCCTCCTTTGCAACCACGTTGGAGAAGTACCTCTGTACGACTGGTGTCGCTGACAGCTGCTCGCTCGCAGTGGCGGCCAGCTTGTTGGTCTCGAAGATTTCAGCCGTTCTCTTGTACTCCCGAGGCCACGTCCACTGCTGCATGTACGCGTGCAGGTCTGTGTATTCCACCAGGCCCTTTTTGTTCCTCCCCGCAGCCGCCTTGGCCTTGTGCATAAATTCATCGAGATCGTACTCGAAAAGCCCAGTGATGAAATATATGTGCGGCCAATCGTACATGGTGGTGCTGATTGGCTTCATGGCGGCATCAGCAGTGAGGTAGTGGGGCCCGTAGTGGAACCCTTTCCTGGTCTCCAACTCTGCGTAAGCAGTCTTACCCAAAACAGTTTTTGCAACCATCAGTTCTCCCAGCAAGTTTCGCACAGAAGCGTCCGAGTGCGGCTCCCAAAGGTGGCACTCCAAATTGTCCAACGGGAGGTGCCCGAATCTACCGTCCTTGGCGATGTTTCGGCACAAAGGGCATGGCACGATGCCTCGGTGGCCCATGCTACCGAGGACTTCCTTGATAGCTTTGAAGTCAGCCAATGTCCCGTAATGACGCGCAAAGAGCCTGGTGAAATCATTGGTATCGTTTTCGCTCTCGCGCAAATCCAAGCAAATGCCTGTCTTCGTCAGGTGATGAGACTCGTCATGCATTGACTAACTGCGACATGCCGCTGTCCATGGTCTCGACAATGAGCGACGGAGTACATGTAACAATGAACCACATTTCCTCCCGATGAACAAGATTTTCAAACTCAGCGAACGTCCAGTAGAAGCTCTGCACTTTGCGTGGGTCCTTCTTGGATGCAAGTGGGTTCGTGGGGCTGACCTCGTCGAAGTATATGATGAGCCTCCACGGCGTACTCGGGGAGCTGGGGAACTTCGCCAACTTTGCCTTCATAATTTGCCTGAACGGAGCGCACTCCCGAACGGTACGATCCAAGAGGGCAAACGGGTGATTGACAAATGCAATTCCAACAGTCCTGTCCTCTAGAGTGAGCTCCATCGGCTGCACCACAGGGCCGTATGGCGTTGGCTCACTAGTGAAAGCATGGCGGGCTCGGAGCTGCGAGCGCGAGCTGCTCGCGCTGGGGAGCCCGTCCGCCCTCACCCTTTTCAGAATCGCCTCAAGCCCCCGCTGCGAAACGTAAGAATCGCGATGCAGCTCATTAAGGTCAGCGCCCGCGCGCTTCATGAGCCAGGGGTGCACGCGCGCAAGGGCGCGCTGGTCGCTCGGGCCAGGGCGAGGACGGTGGCGCGTGCGCCTCTTGATCGGCGCGCGGTGCGTGGGGCGATCGCTTCATACGACACGCGTGCATACATGCGCGGAACTGAATTTGGTTATATAATGGCCTTCGGCCCATTCCGCCACCGTGCCTGGATTCGTGGACATTTGATGGCGTTGGAGGCGCTTGGGCCGTCGCGGGGCGGTGGTGGACCGAAAGCTCGACAATCTCACATTCTGGACCGAGGGAGGCATGTCGGCAGTATGCCTCAAGTGGCATCGAATAAATACAACTTGAGGCATGTCCGTTGTATGCCTCAAGTAGTTCCGATCGGGTACCATCTGAGGCGCGTCGTCAGTATGCCTAACGTGTATGTCGGCAATAT